ACACTCTTCACAATATTAACCTAGTGATATTGTAAACAGCACTTAAAGCCTTCTAAGTGCACAATTGTCACTTATTTATTGATGAGCAATAATATCATCACCCTCACCTCCTTAATACAAATTAGTCAGCTGAAATATTGTGATTTTAAGCAAAAACATCACAGAACTTCCAGTACGGCTTCAAAAGACAGCCAAGGTAGATGGGCAGATCAACATGTTTAGCTGTACACCATGCACATGTTGGTGCATGGTCACTCTTTGTAAGAGATTTCAATAAGAGTGCACGCAATATCTACCTTGATCATTCCAATAACTCTTTTCACTTTCCAAAATGTCAGTTTAGTTACTACTCTTTGTTCACTTAAATTTGTAAGTACATCAGGTCCTTGTTTTAAATCAAGCAATGAAGTAAAACAAATCAAAGGTTTTGGAATAGTGAACATTTTTTATGCCAGTTCAGTAGAAGAGTCATACCAGTTTATGTCTGAACAAAGGAGCTATAAATAGTACTCCCTTCTTGTGACACTAAGAGCTGACTATACAACCAACAAATTTTTTTTGAAATCAAATACTGAATCATTTAGCTATTTTCCAACAATCACAAAGCAAATCTTCATTAGTACTGTGAAAGTTTGAACATTGCATTACAGTGTAATGTAATGTAAAATGTTTTATGATAAAAAAGAAAGTGGTACTAACTAAAACAGCACTGGGAGCAAACGTGATTTTTAACATGTTTTCTTGTGATGTAGCTAGTGTAATGTAGATTAGTTGGCATATAACACGTGTTGCTATAAATTGAAAAAAAACATTAGAGAGAAAAATCTAAAAAAAATTGGAAACTAGTGGTGTACAATGTATATAGAGTTTGGCTTGTTTAGTTACTTTCTTAGCTCATCTTCTCAAAATGTAATGAAATAAATTGTTAAAATTGTAATGGCTCTTGTCTTCCAAATTGTTTTTTTTAAGTATTGGTTCATGTATTCACTAAAAGTGGTGTGTCACTACAGAAAGTAATGTTTCCTGCAACTTACAACCACACAAGAAAATTAACTAGTCACGCTTTTATCAAAGACAAGCTGACCAAGAGAAAAAGCAAAATAACAATTCTGCAGCAAATTTTGAACTCGTTTCTGGTCTCTGCAACACCTAATGTATGTTACACTGGGTAATTTCTTTGCAACTTGATGCAAAGCAATAGTTTCCAAACAACAGCCTTTCCTTAAAATTGTTAAATGAAATTTCTTTTTGTTTGATTTACAGAACTATGAAAGGATGCCTAAATGGAACATGCCAATTGACATAATTATCTGTGATCAAATGTTAGGTACCCCAGAAAAAAGTTATTTTGGTACTAACAATGATGTGTTTGTTGCCTGACAGCCTATGCCCATAGCAGAGACCATGGGTGTTCATGAACATTGCTCATTTGCTTGTTTGTGCACCTTGTGATTGTTCATTCAATGATACATGTTAGAAATGAATTGTCCTACAAGTTGTAGACACTCTTGACAGGTCAAGAAGCCACACTCATACTCAACTACAACATACCAAACGTTTCTGTGTAAAAATACTGTGTCAAAACATCATTTAGGATGCAAATAATTCCTTCACATTGTACTGCAGTTCAGCATGAAAGTAAGGATAAGTACCGATTAGAAAGACATTCATGATACGGGTTACAAAGATCAAGCTTTAAAAATTTTGGATATTTTTTTCTAAGATGACTTGCAGGCAATGCATGCTGATTTAAATTTCCTTACATAGTTCTTAACCTGTGGCTTTTAGAGAAATAGCTTAGTATTGGAACTATATTTTGTGCATTGGAAAATCTGAAATCCGCATGCTAACAGATGTCCAAGGCTAACACAGTTTGAAAAACCAACTTAAATAACCAATGTTTCAAAGGTTTGCTGATAAATTTGCCGCATTACAGTACATATACTAAACGAACTTGTAATTCTGGAGAGTTCAATAAAAGTTAGAACAGGTCAAAATACATTTTGAAACTTTCACTTCAACGGTTCCACATTCTTAAGAACTAGAAACTAAAGAATAATACTGCTCATCCATGTACTAGTCCTAAAACAAATTATTATCAAGTCAAATTCATGCAAAAATCACATCCCACCATGTCAGACTTTGGTTTCTCAATGGATAGTTTTACTGTGTTAACAGCCTTGCAGGGGCACACTTTACAACACAAAGTTCACAAAGCACATCTTTTCTACATGATTGCACCTAATCTATTCCTATCAGCATGTAACAAGCAACACATATGATTAAAATGTCCACAACAACTGTAATCTGAAAACACACAGAGAAGAGAATGTCTTTCTCATTAGCCATGCCAGCAGGAAAATGTTGTTACTGTGCAGTGCAGATGGCATCCTTGTAACAATTCTATTTGTAAAGAAAAATTGTACAGATCACAAGTGTAGTGGAAAGGAAATGAAATGCTAACTACAACATTTACCAGTCTTTCCAAGAATTCCCACAACAAAACTAGTTGGATGCGCGGCAGTTCTAAATACCTGACGCTGCTCACTTTCTGTGCTGGAGAGAATAACAACTGGCGCACGCTGTATGTATGTGGAGAGAATGTATGACCCAAAAATGGTTTTTCCTTCTGTTCATAAAATTCATTTCATTTCAGTGACAAAAAAAAATTGTTGCATTAAATCGTATTTACTTTCTTCATCAAAACAATCACATTCAACACCAAGGAAAACATATAAATTGTGTTTTGCCGACTAAATTGAAACTTGGGACTTCTTAGTGACAAAAATAACACGTAAGTATATATACAAACGTCTATCTCATAACGAATATGGCTGAAACTCCCTTTACTTTGGTTTTTGTATCTAAAACGTAATTAAAAGCACCTGGAATTTTAGTCTGTTCTGCATAACATTTCTTGTAGCGATTGTAAATCTCATAAAATTGATAACAATCGAACTCGACTTGTGAACTTCAAGAGTCGAAAAGCTAATCTTCAGTTCATTTTCACCCAAAGCAGAACAGAAATAAACACGAAAATACCTTGGAATGGATAGGATTAAAAATATTTTCCATAACCACTCCCAGGTTTCCATTTGAAATTGTGAAGTAAGACTACAATAGCCAAAGTACTAGGTTCTCGCCAATTCAACAGTAGGGGGCCTACATTTAGAGAGGAATTTGCATATGTTGTTTTCTAGCCTCGGGGTATAAAAAAACACATTTCCCAGCATCTATAGATTCTTAATCCTCTCCTATGATTATCAATTGAACTTTAGACGTCTTTTGGAGATAGAAAATTGAACTAAAGGAATATAAAAACTGTGCAGTGACGCCAGCTTTCCTTTGCTCTCAATACATGTTTGCATTTACATTGTCGAGATTGCTACAAAATTAGAATTTCTAATCACGCTCTTTGGAAAACGCAGTTTGAATAAATACAACAGCAGGAGATTTTGCTAAAAACCTCAAGATATGCAAGCACAGGAAATTAACGACAGCCCCGGGATTGGAACTGAGAAAAGGTGTTTACAAGCGAAAAAAAAAACGTTCAGTTTATTAAGAAGCACAAGCGTGATGATCAAAAAATAACTCCTGGCTTTGAGTCCAATTGTTAAATAAATTCAAACACAGAAAGAAAGAACAATTGCACCAATGAATGACGTTCTTAAGGCAAACAAAAACAATTCAGAGCACAAGAAAACAAAGTAGCTAATTTAATAAATTTGTCTCAGGCGAAACAATTGTCCTTGATCGGTGACGGAAAACTTTCATTCAAAAGGTCTTTGGTTTGACTTTAACTCCGTGTACCGCTGCAAGACGATCACACGATAAAAATTTGATCTGAATTCACGACTTTGCATACGATAAAAATCATTCCTTTTCCTCGTTTACTTTTGATTTCTTATATTGCAGACTATAATTGAATAATGTGACTGTAGAGTAATGCGTGGTAAGGAAATCTGCCATTGAATCTATTTCGGCTTCATCGCACGAAAATATCAAGAAAATAGACACTAGAGAAGCCCAAGAAACGAAAAATGAGAGTCTCTGTTTGAGGAACAACTATAAATTGATTCATGTTGCAAAAACGCGACGGGAAATCCTTTCCAATATGTACATAATTTGTGAACGATGTGCATAATGTCAATATATCCCATGATCACAAACCAAACAACACTCAAACGAATCCTTCCTTCACATTTCGCCTAAAATAAACCTCTCTAAGCGCCAAACCAAAATTTATTTTATACTGAAGGAAATATCGAGTTCACAGCTTATTAAAGGTGCAGTTATTTGTTTAGCGAAGAAAAGATAACTAAGAAGAGAACCTTTCAAAGAAATGGTTTAGTTGACACATTATCAGTTGAAAGAACGTATCAGCAGTGATTCGTTGGCAATATGTCACTTGTTTACCATTTTTCAGCGCTGGCAAGGAAATCAGGTCACCTTTCGAAGCGATAACCAGGCTTTTTAAAGAAAATATTATCGTTTTATAAGCTTGCGTGCAACTCAGAATTGCAATTCCTCGGAAGAACTTGTCGCATGATGATTTGACATATTGAAAGCTTATATCTGTGACGTGTTTAATTTCGTTCGAAGCAATGCCTTCTGATGAATTCTTGCATTCTTTTTGAGCGTATTGTACAGAACCAAAAACCCTCGCGCGATTAAATAAAAGCGCCTTCCATTAATCATTATGTTTTAGAAGGAAACCTGTAAACGTTACACCAACACGCTTTCAAATCACGGACTTTTTCGCGTTGAAAGGTGACACCACGAGAAATCTCCCAGTTCAAAAACTGCCATTCGTAAATAACTAAGTATTCACCTTAGATAAAGGGTAGCCCGAAATATCTTATCACGACCGATAAACACGAGATCTCGAAAAAAGTTCGTTAGGACTGACTTAAGGGATTTTAAATCGCTGGTGAGCGAGCGTACAACTCGCCTGAAGACGGCATAGAACTAGAAAGAAAACAAGAAACCGTTTTACTCACAATGAGGTCGTTTGCAAAGGAATCCCCTGAGGTATTCCCTGTAGTTGGCGGTTTTTGCAAGAAACTCTTGTTCCAGAACAAATGCACGGCTTGGCTGTAACACACGCCTGGCTATCTGCATCTTCTCCGCGCGACAATCCACACAACGCCAAACATATTGCAGCCAAAGCACTCACAATATAAATGGACGCCATCTTTGATTGAAATCCACAACGTTTTCACATTTCCCACGGCAAACTACACTAGAAAAGCGTTTCTTTGACGCACTTCGAACAAACAGGCAGTTTCATTTGGGTAAAAGCTTCCTTAGCTTGGCGGGGTGTCGGTATTAGAGAATGTGTACCTTCACGCAAAGTTTTCATAAAGCCTCAAAGAGGAAACCATCAGATTGAAATTGAATGCTACTTTCGACATGAAACTGACCACCCACGAACGTCACAACAACAATAGCGAGCGCTCTGATTGGTCGACTTCGCGGACTGTCGGTGAAATGACAAGGACCTAAGCCGCGGGATACAACCCAAATAAAATTTGTTGTATTCGCTCCGATTCATCCATGAGGCTCAAATTTCAGCCTTCCCAAAGAGTGATTGACAGCGGAATAATTGATATGAAATGAGACGTGTAAAACGAACCAATTGAGTGTACAGATGTTAATTTCATTTGCTTGTGCAAACAGCTGGGCTTGGATTGACACGCACTCGCTCAGATTGAAAGATAGTGCACCACAAAACTTTTTTCTCACTTGGGGAGTACTCAAATTTTACGGGTATTGAATCTTTTCTCCAACACTTTACACTCCCTTGCAATACAGGCTGAAACAAGAGCAGTGTGAGCGACGTTTTCCGGCTACTAATAATACACAAATGAGATTTTGCAAAGAACTTCACGTAATTACAGACCCATCTATCAAACGAGCCGCCTTCAGGCCACTTGAATAAACAAATTCCATTCACGCAAGCCGAACACCAAAAAGCTATAAATCATGTCCCGGGGTCCCAGATCGAGAGAGGAGAGAGTTTCAACGGTTGCAACACATTGAAAATGTGTTACTTTTCAAGATTATGGCTCCGCAGATTTATTTGTTACGAAATAGGGACACTTTCAACTGATCGCTTCAAAATGCATTAAAGTAGCGTTACGGAGCATTTCAGAGATGGTTATCACAAAAACATCGTGTTTTGGATAACTTATTTGATCTTGAAGAGTCTATGGTTCAAAAACAATGCAAAAGCTGTCGTAATGTAATCGCTTTTGATTCTCAAACAAAATTGTTGCCATATAAAAAGCGCTAGAATCCTTGCCAAAAAAATAACATCTACAGCTTTTTTCAGAAAGGGCTACCTTTTCGCAAGTTAGGTTTTCCGAGGCAGCTAGTCTGGAAAGTACAGTTAAACACAGTAGGCAGTTGATTGAGGAAATTTACTCATCAAGAGTACCCGACATAGTGGCTACGGCATATATAATACATACTTGAAACAAGGTAAATGGTTTAATTTGCTAACAATCACCTCAGCGGTAAGGACTTGGACGTTTTTAATATTCTAACAAAAGAGTAATTGATTTGATCAAAGCGGAGATATGAATCGCCAAGAGCAGAGAGAAAAACAAAATCCCGGTTAAATTGTTATACGGTTAGGTTATCCGCTTTACGTTAAACATTGTATGCATTCACTGGTATTTATATCAGGCTTTTTGGGCCAATAAAGATATACAAGCTATTGCGGGTCACTATCCAGCGTTTTCAACTTCTGCTTGGTTGTGGCCGGTTGCAATTTCATGATAACACCTGACTTTTACCGCCAAAGAAAACTACAGTCATTCATCAACAATTCAACATTCATCGGTTCAATGGACAACAACTGTTGTCGTGACTAAGCGCTTAATCGGTGAAAATTAGTTTTAGTTTGTAACACTAATTTTCGATCGTGGCCTTCAAAGTTATGAACGAAATTTTCCGGATATATATCAGGCGGGCAGCAGGTTCCATAATTTCTTTCGATGTCGTTGCTTCAACATAACGCTGGGAGGATATGAAATTAACTGAGTTGGATTAAATAACTTTCACTGTCAAACCACCTCAAAACAAACACTCTGTCATTCTTGAACTGCCAGTGACGTCAATGGGCCAAAATTAACGATTTACTACCAATATACTGATATTTTGGAGAGTGTTTTTTAAGAGTTTTTTTTCCGTTCCCTAAATTGTAACGGCTTCATCGAGATCACTGTTCTTTTAGGAAAGAAGACGCCCTGTGATATGAAAATGGATTCACGAGTCATTTCCGAAAAAAAGCTTATTAATTAACTCAATTGGGGTACTGGGGTAAGACGACAGATTATTCCTGTCTTAACGGTCAGACTGGAAAGGTGTGAGCGAACTTCAAACCTGGTCATAACACAGTTTTCAGCGATATTCTTCAAATGTACCAAATTGATTTCCTAATTGATATTACACGATTTTTAAAAACTCGAATGGGTATCCCGTTTGTTGAGTTTTGATTTGTTTTACAAGTAAAATGTAAAAGCCAATAAATCAAATTATTTTCTTGAATGACTGTTAAAGAATAATTGTTTGAAGACAAAGAAGCAAATAGTCTGAAAACTCCTGAGTCTGAAATCTCCTCGTTCATAGAAAAATTAATGAATTGGAAATGGAGGAAAATATGAGGCCTGGCGGTACGTATTTTAAGGTTAATCTAGTTTGAGGACATTGATACTGCGTGGGGCTAAACTATTTTGACATTGTTTGGCCAAACCAATCCGCAGTCCTGCCGTTAGACTAGTTTCCATATTTCCGTTTCATTTGCAGATTTCTTTATTTTTTCGCAACATAAATTAACACATGATTACGCATCGACTTACTGAAGACAGTCTAGTTTCTAGGTAAGGTTGATATTCTCAGCACTCGTCTCAACATTTCTACGAATTCTCCTATAACTCACGTCGTTCAAAAGTAAACGGTGTTTGTTTTCGCTTTGGTGATCAGCATGAACAGGAAATACAGAAATCTAATAAAGGATAGGGAGGAAATAATTCGAGGTACTTTGAAAGCACGACGTATGAGTATGTCGTGCATTGGCCAGTTAATTAGGTAGGCGGGCCGACTGTCGAGGCATACGGATGTGGTTTAAATACATTTTCCGTATCGGCTGTTCGGTATGTCTTAAAACTGGTTTTAACCCAAAAGAATTTTGTTCCGGTTATATGCATAAATCATGAAGAAGACGATATTGTAACACCGTCTGGAGTGTCGTTTATTTTTGTTTCTATTGCCAAACGCACAAGAAAAGCACCATTGTATGAAAGTATGTCAGGAGAACTGCTGATATTGAGCAGTTGATGCGAATCTTTGAATTCACTGTTACAACATAATGGTGACGGATTCAATGGGGTTTAGGGGAACACGGAAAATAATAAACGGTTAGAAGTCTTAGAACCCAAGGTGGAGGACTCAAAGGGGTTTGGGGGAACAAGGAACATGGTAAACAGTTAGAACCTAGGGGGAGGGGGAACTCAAAGGGTTTTGGGGAAACAAGGAACACCATGATTTGTTTCAAGGTCCGGGAACAAGAGATATTTTTGGAAATAATATCTATACCGTCTGGTAATGGGAACTTCGATGAAAAATCAATTCGGTAACAACAGGCGAAAACAGAGAGAGAAAATGTGAAATTTTTAAGGATGGATGGAACTTGTATCCCACCTGGGACGTCCTCGCAGGTATTGTTCATCTAAGGTGATTCAGGTGAAGTTAGTTTTCAAAAGAACTGTTGCTGGTGACTGACGCGGAAGTCATTTAAGAGGCAAGTGAATAGTGTTTATCTGTCTATATAGTGTTAATTTGTCTATGGTGCTTATAAGTCTGTTAATACTGATTGATCAATTGAGAAGAAATGAATAAGCTGAAGAAAGTCTCTCTTTCTGTACTTGATCCAACAAAATAAAACGCCTCTCAGAGTCGGAACGTGTTATAAATTATCTCGTCCAAAGAAAAGAGAGGCTCGGCTCGGTGGAGGTTTTCAAGTCACATAACAGTTATATGCTTCTAGTCGTAAGGCTCTTAAGGTCACTGATTCAAGACTGGAAGTCCAAACTTAAGAGAAGGGAGGCTAGAAAAGAGTCCAAGATTGGAGAAATTCACAAGCATCAATCAGTAACTGAACTACATAAGAAAAAAATAGCCCCACAATGCGTACTTGTGGACTTATGACTAGTTTTATTAATTAGGTTGAAGTATTGTACTCTTACGCTGAGTGGGTAATCACTGGAAAGATGAAAGCACACAAATAAATGAGGTTCATGCTAGGAACGTACTTGAGCCTGCTGTTTTAACTACCCATCGCTTCCGTACAAACCGATTTGTTATACCTCCCAACCCAAATACGTTTTCCGATCGGAGGAAAACGTGTCATGTGTCGTGGGTCAAAATTTACTAACATTTACCGAAACATTTACCGAAAGGCAGCATTTGCCTTTCCGATAGGCTGTGATGAATTCACAGCCGTATTCCCTCACGATTAATTAATTATTAATGGGTCGCGCAGCGGTAAGCGTTCAGTCAGGGAATCGGTAGTCGGATGGAAGGGTTGGTGGTCTTCTTCTTCTTCTTCTTCTTCTTCGTCTTCTTCTTCTTCGTCTTACGCTTTTTTGAGTTTTTCTTTAGTCCTCGCCTCGTTTTTTCGCTGATTTTAAGTTTCGTTGCCTGTCCCTATATTCCGAAAGGAGCGTTCCTGTAGTATCGACTGTTCCTCGTTTTTGTGTTCCTATTGACTATAAGAGGACCAGATTTTTTGCAAGGTAGGAACAAAACGTTCACTCTATTGTAAAAGAGGAACGTTTCGTTCCGAGTTCCCAACTATAAATGGAACATATTGTTCTTAAATTGATAAATTAGGACTGTTTTGTGCCGAGTTCCTATCTGTGCATCGAACACATTGTTCCGAAATTGATAAATTAGGACCGCTTTGTTCCGAGGTCCCCTCTGTAAATGGAACAAAATGTTCCCAAATTGGTCATTTAGGACTGTTTTGTTCCGAGTTCCTATCTGTAAATGGAACAGTTTGTTCCACAATTGGACATTTAGGACTGTTTTGTTCCGAGTTCCTATCTGTAAATGGAACATATTGTTCCCAAATTCATAATTTAGGAGCGTTTTTTTCTGAGTTCCTCTCTGTGAATGGAACATATTGTTCCCAAATTGGTCATTTGGGAACAGATTTCGGACCATTTTTCTACACATTCCTATTTTGTTCCCAAATGAAGGTGTCCTTTGTGAATGAGACAAACAATAGGGCGCGCTCAGACCTGCTTGGGCAAGTTTGGTTGCATGTCACTGTCATGAATTTTGCACAATAGTAATGAGGGCGGCAAGTAAGGGCGTGCCTTGGCAAATACAAACATATATGCAGTTCCTTTGCTTGTCATCGGCTCCTTTGTTATGGTTCAGATTTAAAGGAGATCATGTTGGCCAAATACTCTTTAAAAGGCAAAATAAGCAAGAAGTGAAAAGTCAATTGGTCGGATATCGATGGAGCATCACCCAAACCAAAACGGCTTCACTT